GCAGTGCGGGCTCCAAAAGCACTGAATGACACCCCAAAGCTCACCAGCTGCCACATGTGCCGCGGCTCCCGCCAGCAGTTGGAGGGCGCAGGCCAGCACCAGCCAGGCGAATCCCTGCGCTTGCATTGCAGCTCCCAGCTGTGTAGGAAGGCTGTAGCTGGGCACCAGGGCGCTGCCAACTCCAAGTCACTGCGTGTCGTCCCTCATTTTCCACATGCTATACGAGTTACGTATTTATGTCAAATTATCAAGCGGGGTACAGAAGTCCTGCTCAATAATCAGCTTCGTCGGGCCGCGGGATCACAGGTCAGCTGCCAGCGCAGGCCCCGAGCCAGGCGCTCTGGAGAAGCTATGCAAGGATTGAGGCGAACAATTTCCCACGGCCTGTTCAATTGCCTTCGACCTTCCTGCAATCGCTCCAACCGCCCCCCGAGCTGCAAACCCAAGCTTCATGCACTGCAGGGCCCTGCCGCCGCGGCGGCGGCGAGCGTACTGCAACCCAAATGCCTCCGCCCCCTCAGCCCCTTGCCATGCTGCAGCATCTAAGTGCTTGACATGCGTCATGCTGAGGGATATTGTGAGGGGTGCAGAACAGAAAGAGAGACTCTGAAGCGTGCAGAAAGCATAGTAGCAGGGGCAAAACAATCAGCGGAACACAAGGAGGAGACTGGAAGGCGACACACACGGAAGCTCTCGGTCAGCGACGGGCTAAATGCATCTGCAGCAGCAGAAGGGGTGCCAGCAGTGTAAGGCACAAAGCAGCAAGCGGGTAGGTCCTGTGAGCGAGGAGCGAGCACAAGCCTGCAATCAGTGGTGTACAGCACGGCATGTGCCCGCCCGCCCACCTGTACTTGACAGACAGCTTCTTCTGCTCGCCAACGCACGGGTCTCCCCCCAGGTTGGCGTTGGTGGCGTTGAGGGTGCAGGCGGTGCCGTAGCGATCGAGGCAGAGGCTAGTGAACACGCTGCAGCGTGGGGGGGTGCGGCGCGCGAACGTCGAGCCGGCCAGCGCGAGGCACGGGCCAAGCGGCTGAACCAACAGCGTGGCGTGGGCAGCGTGGCGCGCCCATGGGAGTCATCATGGAAGGGGCCGGCACTGGCGCAGCTGCCCCGCGGGCTCACCTGTTGACATCCCGCACGCCGCACCCGTCCTTGCCGGCGCCGTTCTTCTGCCACCTGGCCTCCCAGATCTCGCGCACCCGCTGGCACCCGCACTGCAGGGACAAGTTCTGATTCTCCAGCACCTCTGCAGCCCTCTCGCTGCTGACAGGCGGGAAGACGCAGGCGTAGTTGTACTGCAGGGAGGGGCAGGGAGGGAAGAAAGCGCGTCCGGGATGGGAGGACGATGTGCGGCACCTCTGCTCAGGAGGTGCCGCCGCCCAAAGGGCTGGTGCCGGCCAGCGGAGCAGGCACAGTGGCGGGCGGGCGCGGCGGGAGCCCTCACATGCACGTATTTAGCGACGTTGTTGCATGGATCCCCGCCAAACGTGCTCGGACTGTTTGAGACATCGCAAGTCCCCTTGCTGCGCCCCGCGGTGTCGCACACCGTGTTGATGGCGCTGCAGGCAGAAGAGGAGGCAGACGGGCAGGCCAAGCAATTGAGTGCATACAAAGAGCGCAGAAGGTGGGGTGTGCCGACACACGAAGCGCCTCAGCCAGCAGCAGCTGAGCAGGCACCAGCATGCGCCAAGCGGGGGCCAGCGGCCGCGCGCCAGCAGGCAGGCAGGCAGGCAGCAGGCATGTGCTCACGAGTAGCTCTGTGAGGAGTTGCAGCTAGGGTTGTGGTCTAGCTTGCCGTAGACAGGCTTGATGATGTTCCCGACGCGCAGGCAGCTGCCGCAGGATGCCCGTGCAACCTGGCCGCCTGTGGGCGCCGCCGCAAAGCCGGGGTAATCGCACTCCCAACTGAAGGTCAGCTTCTTGAGCACACCGGGACCTGCGCACCAGCAGTGAGGCCGAGGAGGGGAACTGCGGGTTAGGGGAGGCTGCATGGGGAAATGTGCAGCCGGGCAACGCCGGCAGCCAGCAGCTGGCGCTCGCCCCCATGCCATCAGAGGCAGCGGCAGGAGGAGCGTGGTCATGGTGGGCACATGGGTGGCAGGCAGCGGGCAGGCCGCAACGCACATGGGTTGTAGAAGACTTCGTTGTTCACTGGCACGGGTGCAGAGGCTTTGGCCGATACAGAGCCGATACACCTCCCTGCAGCATGGGGAGGGGATGGGGGAAATGGGGCTCACATGCGTGGCCAGCCAGTGCGCGGCGGCACGCACACGCGGTTCGGGCATGACGGCAGGCTTGCGAGCAGCAAGCATGAGCCAGCAGGGCGCCTCGCCTGTAGGCGCTCATCCGAGCCGAGTCTGAGGCGTTGCAGCTGCCGCCAAAGTAGCCGCCGTAGCGAGGGTTGATGACTGCGTGGCAGCAGCAGGCAGCGGCAGGCAGCGGTGAGCACAGGAGACGGCGCCCGAGGCGCACAACAACAGGCGCCTGCGCGGCTCCTGCTCACGGCTGCTCACTGCGGGACTCACTCTTGCTAATGACCAGGCCGGGGGGGCAGAACGCCACTGCTTTGTCCTTGCCGTTCTGGCCGTAATACCTCCCTTGGTAGTACAGGTTCTGCTCCCCGTACGCCTCGGGCTGCCCTGCTAGCGGCTGGCACCCATATACCCTCCTGCAGCCAAGCAAGGGCGACACGAGGCAGTGAGCAATCAGGTGCGCCGCTGGCTGGGCGCGGAGGCTCCATGCGCCTGGCGGCTCGTGCGGTGGTGTGGAGGGCAGGCGCGGGCTGGCA